TTTATTCAGAACTCAATAACTTGTATTTAATTTGAATTCATAAACGCAAAAAATTCAAAAAAAAATTTGGACACAAACATATAAAATTCAGTGCTATAACAGTGGATGTTTTGATTTTATGTTACTTTGGTTAATATTATTGTCCAATTCATACTAGACCCTTAGTCCATAAATCAAAATCACTTTGTCGCAAAAAAAGAACGAAAAAAAGAATTTAGGAGGTTGTTGTTTTCTGTTTTAGTAATAATCTGACAAATAATTAATGTAAACCGATTTTTATAGTACTCTCAATAATCACTTAATAATATGATTAAATGTATATATTCTTACTTTATAATTTTGTCATATGGTTAAATTTATCAGTATTTTGATTTTTAAAAAAATTTTAATTTATGTGATGTGTTTTTTTTATCCTCTCTATCCCAATTTATATGTATATTTATTTATAATTTATCCAAAAAAAAATTATATTGTTCCATCTCTAATGAGTTTGTTTAAAATCACAATTCACGAGTACGTACTCAAGAGTCTTTCAAATATAATCTCTTTCTTAAACAAAGCACTGTCGATAAAATTAAAATGCATATTTTATAAAAAAAACCTGATCTGTATCAAAATATTCGTGGAATATATAAGAATAAAATAATGAAACTTTTGTTGGAAAAAGGAATATAATATGGTCCCAAATAAAACCAGGTCCATTCTTTTTATAGATTCGACGAGCCAACACACAAGTTCAAATTTTAAAGATATCAAACATATATTACACGTAGTGGTAGTAGTATTAATGATAAAATTATTTCACATGCATGCATATATTATAATAAATATGGTCCAATATATTTTCCATACACACAATGCAAGCTGCTGATAATATATATATTCTCTTACTTTTTCTTTCATTCTCTTTATATTATGTTGCATACCATGCAACGACAATCTTGCATGAGAAGAAAGGCAGAAAAAATCATTTCATTTTAAAGTTTCACCACATCTATATATTATATCTACAACTTTTGAGACATATATATATATATATATATTTGGAGGGTACTTCAAGTCAGTGGCGGATCTAGGAATTTTAATAAGAGGGTTCAAAATTTGAAGAACTAAACACAGGACTAACCAAAGGGGGTTCAACATTTACTATAAATACAAAAAAATAATTTTAACCATGTATAAAGAGTAATGTTTTTCGCCGAAGGGGTTCAGATGAACCCCCTAAAAGAAAGTTGGCTCCGCCCCTGCTTCAAATTAAAAATGAAAGTACGTTATGATGTTGATTTTTCAGATGATTACTCAATTATTATGAAATAGTTATTAGCTTAATTTATTACTATTTCAATTAGTTTAATGACCGTCCTAGGAATCAACTCATAAGCTATGCATGACACTATGAAAGGATTAGTAGTACACAGCCACAAGCCGCGGGGTTAAGGGACGTAAAGGATAAATCTCATTCGTTAATTTTTTTTTAAAAATTACGTATTTCATTAAGTATATGTTCTTGGGATATAAAGCTTGAATATCAAGATTATCAGTAATATACTGGGAAAAGGGTTCGAAATATATTTGAACTTTGACCGAAATTGTTGTAACAATCTCGAACTTTGGGCAGGATTTATTACCCTCTGTACTACTTAATTAATAGTGTATTTTAAAGATATATAGGTGTCCACGTGGACATCATAAAATATTGCATCATTATAAATAGTAACATGTCCAGCTGGGCACTTATATATCTTTAAAATACACTATTAAATAGTGCAGGAGGTAATAGGTCCTGCCTAATGTTTGGGATTGCTACAACAATTTCGATCAAAGTTCAGATATATTTCAAACTTTTTTCCCTACTAATTATATTGGTAAACTCCTTATCGTAATTTTAAGGTAAATTATATTACTGTTGTCAAGGGAATAAGAAGCATCAAGAATCAAGATTCATGTAATATACTTGCACTTCCAAATATTAATTCAAGAAAAGGTTTGGCTATTTTCCAATCAAATTACTTAATTAATTTGTTGTAAAGAAACGAATTAATGAATATTGAGGACACCAAAAAGTATTCTTCCTAATTTAAAAAGAAATAAAGAATATTTACACTTCTTGGAAGCCTTATTCAATGCCATCTGCGACATTTTGATTAAATTGAATTTGAGATTTTACTTGTTATGGGTTCTCATATAAGAGTTTGAAATCTAAAATATATATTTAACTTTATTTATATAATAATAAAATCTCGAAATACATATATTAAAACATATAATCCCTAGCTCAGTCACAATTTATATGATTTACTTTTTTTAGTCAAAGAATGACACATTTCTATATTTAGTACTCCCTCCATCCCATTTTATGTGACACTTTTCGGATTTTAAGATTCAAACAAGTTTATCGTTGACCGTAAGTATTGAATTTTCAATTATTGTGACTTATAGTACTTTTACGTAGTTTACAAATATAGAAATTCCATTTCAAAAAAATTGAAGATTCTATGCTTAAATTTTTGGTCGAACTTAAACTGTTTGACTCTCGAAAAACGAAAAGTGTCACAAATTTAACTTTAAAATATTCATTTTACTCTTACAAGTGATTTATAATCATATGAACACAAATTTCACATAAATTTTTCCTTTCTTAAACTCAGTAGCAAGTTATCAGAGGGAGGAGTTACTATTTTTGTTTTGAGCATCTTCATGATGATCATGTGATTTGTACTTTCAACTTTTGTTAAATATATTCTAGGAGTATCTCACACGTTATTTAAAAGATAGCAAAAACTTTTAGTATTTTGTTTCTTTTTTTACTATGGTCCTCTTCTTATTAAAACTTTAGCGGATTTTACGATCGATGCTTGATTTTCTTTTGCTTTTTTTTTCCCTCCTCGATTTTCAAACACAAATTTGATCGTAAAAGTTGTGAATTTTCTCTTTTTTATTTACAAAGAAAAAAAAAAGGGACAAAGTAATGATGAAATTGGTCCTAATAACATGTGATGAAGATATCTTTTTTTCAAGTTGAGAAAGATGATTGTTCTCTCTTTTTGTCATTTGGCTAAAGAAAGTAACATGGAAAATTTCTTTTTTTTTCAAGCTTGGGTAATAGTATAAGATTAATTGGAAAAGATGAACTAATTATTGCTATAGCTTTTCAAGTCACTTTCCTATACCAATTTTAGGGTTCTAAAAATCATGAAAGGCTTAGGGAACCATTTATTTATTTATCTTTTTGAAAAGCACAAAGGATATGATATGATATCATTATCATTATATTACTTTCCATTTGTTTTTTGAAAACACTAGTAATTACATTCTTTCTAGCCGCGCGCTAAATTTCATGTGTGGATCATTTGGATTATCGAGTATAACGAGGGGTGTGCGAGCATATATATCAGGAAAGACCAGATTAAAAAATGAAGTTATACAGGATAAAATGAGAAAAATATGAGGAAAGTTACATTGAGATGATATGAGCATCAAAACATGTAAAGAGGAGGTGCACAGAAGCAGTAGTAAGGAAGTGTGAGAATGTGACTATAGCAGGTTCTAATAAAGGTAGAGATAGGTCAAATAAAAATTGGGGATATGTGATCAAACATGATAAGACACATTATTTACCTGAGAGATAGAAAGAATTGAAGGTCAAGAATTAGCATAAAAATATATTGCCTCCGTCCCATTGTATGTGACGCTCTTTTCTTTTTAGTTCGCCCCAAAAAGAATGTCACTTTACTATAATTAGAAAGAAATTCTTTAAAATACATCTTTTACCCTTAATGAAATAATTCAGCCACACAAATATCTAAGGATTGTTTTACATCACAAGTTTCAAAAGTCTTTAATATTTTTTTCTTAAATACCGTGACAAGTCAAAGGATACCACATAAAATGGGACGGAGGGAGGGAATAGTAGACTATCTTATGTTGTAGTACTTGTATGAGGTAGAAGTATAGTGTCATCTTCTCCGTATTACTTATTTTTATCTAATACGGAGTATTCGCTTGGGACGGAAGTGGTAATTGTCAAGTCCCACTTCGCTTTTGTGATGTTATTTACATATTAATGATCCCCAACTTTGATATTTGTGTAAAAATGATCTTTTTAAGTTTAATGTAATTTTTTTGGATTAGTAAAGTGATTGTTAGCAACTTTATAAGGTAAATCATGATAAATCTCGATATGATCGACTTCATGCTATATACCTAGCTATCCTACGAGATTATTCACAATTCATATCGAATAGTCATGATTTTATTAATACAAACAAAAAAGATATAAGAAACAGATTTCAAAACTGCGGCATACAATCAAGACAAATAGTATGACTTCATGTTATATTCAACCTAGTTATCTTGGAAGATAAATTCACAATTCATATTAAATCATCGTGATTTCAACATTACTTATAACAATGAAGCAAGTGTTATATCATACATGCTATCACATTGTTGAGTAAAAAGATTGTGATTCCGGCCTTAACTCCTTGTATGATCTCGGACAATTAATTCAACATCGTTAACAACACCATATATGGTCATTAGAACGGGCACGTCATACGAGAGAATATATGCCTTGCTTGTAAGAGTCGAAGTAGAAAAGGGGTCCATACTGTCTATTGGGCCCCCAATTCTAACCCGGGGTCCACAATTTAGAGTGTTGTTTCGGTTTTTGAAGCCCAATTTGGGCCCATTAGCCTTTACTCTTTATCGAGGACCCAAAAAATATTCTCAATATAACTGTCACCGTCTGATGTATCCCACCAAACCACAAATCCAAAGTTGACAAAATCACAGCCGTCCAAATCTCCTTTATTGATGATGATACAGTCAAGATTAACCCAATGTGGGCCCTATTCAATCAAAGACAGTGGGCCGACAATAGCTAGGCCCACATAAGTTGTCTTTGTCCCCACCACATAAGGCCTTTTTCTTCCTTCATATTCACGTTCTTTAGCTCAATTTTTTTTCATTCTCACTAACCCTTTTGGATATACAGATATACACATATTATATATAGTTGTAACAAAGAAACTTTGTATTTGAAATATTTTAGTTACATATTGTTGAAAGTTTGTTCCTTTTAATATCAAGAGTGTAGCAATGGGGATTACTTCTTTGCAAGTTTGCATGGATTCATCTAACTGGCTACAGGTTTGTGTGTTACTAAATTCAATGTTGTTACATTTTCATGTTCCTTAGCTTTATGGCATTCACATTTTGACAATTGAAGTTTCGTTACGAATAGATACTTTTGCAGGAGTATACATAATCTATTATCTGGTTAAATACATTACGAGATATTTAAGCATTCATTTCTAGATATTTTTGCACCTTCTAATAGACCTAAACGTACATCTCTTAGAAAAATGTTGATGCATGCCTTCAAAAATAGTGCAGGATCTCATATGAAAGCTATAACATTTTTTGAGAGTCCGTAACAATATAGTTCTTTTTTCTTTCCATATTGTTCGGATGCTTCAAAATCTGATTTTGACTAACCATGACCATCTAAAGTTAGTCCTACGTCTCAATTTATCTGATGTTATTTGACTTAATATGAAATTAAGGTAGACAGACTTTTGAAACTTGACAGTCTAAGACAAGTTATACATGTTTGTGTGGCTATGAATCATTTTATTAAGGGTTACATTAAATAAGCATTTTATAGTTAAATTGTTAGTACTAAATATAGAAATATGTCTTTTATTTATGGAGCGACTAAAAAAGAAAAGTATGTCACTTAATTTGAGACAAAAAGTAAAGTAAGTCTGAAATATCCGACACAAATACATTAACATTTTTTCAGAGTTTGAGCAATATCTTCCTTTTTTTCTAACTTTTACCTATGTGTTTCTATTGTCAGGACACAATTCCCGAGGAGAATGAGTTTGATTCATCTTCATCTCCATCAGGTGGTGACATTTTTACATGTTCAAGGCCATTAATGGAAAGAAAACTAAGACCCCAACATGACAAACCTATTAATTGCCCTCGTTGTGACTCAACACACACTAAATTTTGTTACTACAACAATTACAGCCTTTCTCAACCAAGGTATTTCTGTAAATCTTGTAGAAGGTACTGGACTAAAGGGGGAACTTTAAGGAATATTCCTGTTGGTGGTGGATGTAGGAAGAACAAAAAAGTATCTTCAAAGAATTCAAAGTTGTCTAATGACAATATTACCCCTCATGTTGAATCATCTCATAATTACCCTGAAATGTCATTTTCCCACTTTGGTAATTTTATGGAAAATAATAATATGAATCATAATTTCATGCATCATGCACCTATTGATTTTATGGATAGCAAGTATCAAGCTTTTGTGGGGACTACTAGTACAAGAAATCAAGATTTTCTTGGGAATGTTAATGTTGGTACTGGTCTGATCAACGGTTATGGTGAGATGGATAATTCAGGAATTGGACCACATTATAATGGAGGGTTTTGCTCTAGTGCATTTGGGATGCCTAATATGAATGGAAATATAATTAATTATGAGGGACAAAATATTACAATGGATGTTAAGCCTAATCCAAAGATTTTGTCACTTGAATGGCATGATCAAGGTTACTTGAATGGAGGACTAGGAACTTGGAGTGGATTGATGAATAATGGTTATGGATCAACCACGACGACGAATTCGTTAGTATGAGGATTAAATTAAATCATCAAGGCTTACAGTCAAGTGATATTGATGGATATATAGGTGTTGGTTCAATTATCGTTATAGCACTAAGCTAAGTTACTTTTCACTTTAGTAACTACTTAATTTCAATTTATGTTTGTTAATCTCATGTTGTAATCATGAGTGGTTGAGATTATATCAGGTATAATTATTAGTCCTGAATTATCACTTATGTACTGGTTTTGTACTGATCAATATTCCTTTTTTTGTGAAGGATTTTGCTTAGTTTAATTAATTAAAGTAATTAGGATGTTAAGTGTGAATGTGATATGTTTTAGAAGCTGTTCAAATTCGACCATGTCTTAAATATCCGTAAGTTTTTGGTTATTCACATTTGTAATGTTGCAAATCTTGGTCAGCTAGCACTGTATATAAATAATGCTAGTGTTGAGAAATTCAAAGTTGTAGGCTTGTTGGATTTGATCAGATATCGAGGAAGATATTGTTCACCACTATTTTCTTTATGTGACTTGGCATAAAATTTAGATAAGTCTTCGTTCTTTTTATACAGATTAAAAGAAAAAATATGTCACGAATAGAAAGAAAGAGTATAATATTATTTTTTATGTTCAAAAAAAATGTGCTTAGTACTTGGATATGATAGGGGAGAATGTAGTAGCAATTATTTTAGCATCATATTTATTTTTATTTGTCGACGTCATTTTGTTTGTGAATCAATTATTGGTCTGGATTTGGAACTTTGGGGTTTGGACTAGTACTTTTATGACAGTAAAAGAGAGAAAATTCTCACTTTTCAGTTCGTTACGTAATTAAAAAGAGTCTAACGTCTTTAACTTCACGGTAAAATTTTGGTGACATTATTAGTTTTGTAGGTGAAATTTCAGAAAAGCGTCATCTAAAATATTCAAGTTCGGGAGTATTATATATAATACGGGAAAAATAATTTTATTGGATGTTTATCATTTCCCACCAACACTAGGTATAAAATAAATTAGGATGGATGGAAAGAATCACCTAGTGCCGACCAATTCTATGAAATATTTGTCACTTGCCACAAACAATTAGTACCAAATAACTCTGACCATCAAAATTAGGACACTTGAAAGATCACACAGTATTTTTTTTTATCTCCACTCAGGTTCAATTTCACTATAATTTAGATTTTTTATATATTTATTTATTTCCCACCCAATTATGCAGTAACAACATTGAAGCCCGACTAAATTCAAATTTAATCCACATTGAGAGTAAAGCACTCTCTATCCGACATTGAGGGTAAAACGCTTCCTAACAAAGAAATCCTTAACGATAAAGCGCTCCCCGACTATAGTTTAGATTTGCTGCTATGTCTAATCCCAAATTTAAAACTCTTATGACAGTTATTGTTCGAAAACAAAACCTATAAAGTATACTTGGCGTTAAAGAGTCGCAGGAAATACTAGTAAAACGGAAATTGATATAATGGACTCCCATCTTTTGACTTAAGATGAAGTTGATTGATTATAGTTGATAAACCTTTCTAATCCATACAGACAGAAAGAAAGAAAATTAGGCATTGAGGTTGTCCAACATCCATTCATTCAATAAAGAAGGCAACACAGAGCAGTAGCCCAGGAGAGAAGTACTGAAAATAAACAGCTAGCGAGGGGGGTTCTCAACAACAGTCGCATATATATCCTAATTAATTAGATTCACAGTTTCAATGACAACTAAGAAACTACCAACACTTATTATCAACTATGATGAAGAAGAACCAACCATGTTGCTTACCTTTTCCAAGAAGCCTTTCACCTCGCTTTCCAACTTGGCTTTCATCTCGGGGGAAATATTATCACCAGCCTTCTCAAGCATTGTTGTCATTGACTCCAGATTCTGTTTTATGACCACCAGATCAGGTCCCTCACCTCCAGAAAGTACACTAGGGGACTGAAGTGCATCCACGGACGTCTGTGTGTTGTTAGAAGTTGAAACATGACGGAGACGATAACTGACAAGGGAAGGTCCAAATGGGTTTCTGCTTTGTAAACTCTGCAAGGCTTCCATAGCATCACTATCCTTTTCAAACACAACCTGGGCAGTAGAATCATTCAGGTACAAAGTTTTGGATTCCTCTAACGGACCAAAACTGGCAAAAGTAGCAGTGATATATTCTTTAGAAGGCACTGGTGAACCCGGTGTAAAGTATAGCAGAAGAGTGTTGTGATCTCCATTAGGATTGGGTATCCCAATGGCAGCAGATTTAGTAGCTCTTCTCCTTTTTTGCTTGGGTTTAGCTTGACCTGTCACACAACTCATTTCTGTGACCTCCTTTCCCTTCAAATTCGGATCAGTGACCTGTCCATTCAAATCTGGTAGGGCTGAAGAATTATTCTGAATGTTTAATGCTTTCTCTTTCCTTTTCCTTTTCTTGCCTTCTGCTTTTGCAGACGAAACCAGACCGGTGATCTGTGAAATATTTGGTAATGAGCTACCTGCAGCATGAATTTCATTGGCATTTGGTTGTCCAGCTAAAAGTTCAGCATTCGGGAGGGAAGACGCCCCCTGTACCCCAAACATGTTACCTGGTTGAGGACCACCTTCCAAGGGTAACGAGCCGGTGACTTCCACACTTTTCAGCATTGGAATGAACTGGGTGTTGCCTTTGCTCACATCTGGCAGATTCTCAGAAACCAACTCTTCCTTCTTCCTCCTCCTCCTCTTAGGTTCAAGTTTACCTTGAGTAGGAGCAGGACCTATAACCTGCATATTTTCAACTGACAAACCCGCGTTGTTTACATTCAAGTCTGGTAGTCCACCTAATACCCCAATCTCATTATGAACCACAGCTGCAATTGCCGCCTTCTTTCTCTGTCTGTGAACTACTCCTTTTTTGAGTGTATCAGGTCCTGTCTGTACAGAATCAATAAGGGGAGAGCCATTCATACTGGTACCATCTGCAGTCATCCTAGGTAAGTTGGTTTTAGAGCTAAACTTGGGACCAGTTGCATTTATTCCATCACTTTTCTTTCTACCTCTCTTCTTGGGGAGAACATTCGGAGGAGGCTGTCCTTCTACTTGCAGATCATATCCTCCTGAGGCCAAAATATTATCAGACTGCAAAGTTTCCTGACACCCTAAAGTAGCTTCCTTGTATTCATCCATCTGAACTTCAGGATCTCTGAATGCTCTAAAACTCAAGTAAAAATCCCGGATTGGAATGGGACACGTGCTTTGAATAGGATAGAAGCAATCAAGAGCTGTCTGATGGAGTTCTTGGAGCATTTCTGCCGAAGAGGCAGCACCGAAATCTGCATTATTGCAAATATCATTGTCATTAACAGATTTCCTCGATTTCCTTAGTGAGGTCTTGTTACTGTTGTTACCAATTGATGTGGAGACCATAGATGGATTGGAGGAGGTCTTTACTCCACCAGGAGTAACTTCCTCACAATCTTCAGTTTCATCTTCTCCCTGACCAAGTGAATTCTTACGGGAGGCCCAACTGTTTACATAAGGATATGACAGGTACTTGCTCTTCTTCCGTTCTCGCGACTCAAAAGATTTTCCTCCGGCATTTTCATTCGCAATCTGTGAACGGGATATCATGCTCCTCATTCCTCTAGGAGACTCCAATGAGCCAGACAGCTCCATCTCAGTCATTTTAATATCATCAGAACCACTTCTACAGCTCTTAAGGACACTATCACCACTAGACAGCTTGTCCAGATCTTCATCCTTGCTTACTGATATCAGATTATTTGTTGGCCTGAGTTTGTACAAAGGCAATTGCTTATGGCCTATTGAAGTGTAAAAGGCAGATAGGCAATTCTCAGCAACTGTGAACTCAACATTACCTGGGCTACGAAGACCCAAAGCACGTGATTTGATGAATTCGAGTAAGTTTGAAGGTTCAAATTGAGATGCCGAAAAAACACTACCCCCATTCTCATCTTCCTTTGAAGGAAAATTTTGAGCAGCAACTTGATTTTCTTTTGAAAAACAAGAACAGGTCATCTCCTGTTTCACGCGCCTACCAAACTCGCCCAAAGCCTTCTCTATTGCAGCATAAAAGCTTCTAGACTTATTCTGGCGAGACATCAGCTCAAAATACCCTATAAAGGGCTTTAACTGGAATGGCCGGCACCAAACAGAACTAGTGTTACCAAAATGCTTAACAAAGAAACCATCCATATGATTACACTTCCCAGCATCTTTTGTTGTGTGCGGATCACAAATCATTCCCGGCCACCACAAGTCAGTCTTCATTTTTACCCATACCAAGTCACCCACAGCAAAATTGTGTTCTTGATTATCACTGACATTACCTTCTGCTTCATTCCCATTGACACCCATAGGGTTGTCAGTTTCCATGTAAAACGTGCAATCTGGACCAAATACATCCACTGTCAGAGAAATACCATTCCCAGAAACTTCTATCTTTGTAGGAGAATCATTTACGTGCACCTTTGACGTGTCAATATCTTCCACAGCATCAGCCACACCAATTTTCTCAACTCCATTATCAAGAGACTCATTAAATTCAGCACCCGATTCTTGAGTTTCATGTTTCAAAGTCCCTCCTTCCATCAGACCATCAAGTGAAACATCCTCGTTCTCCAGGCCAAGTGCCTCTAAATCAATAGTATCATCCACATCTCCAAACTTGTTCTCGATCTCAACTCCCTCAAGAACATTATAATCATCCACATTTGCAAGCTTATTCTCACTCTCAACTGTCCCCTGCCCGTCCACTAGCTTCTGCTCAGTATCAACACCTTCCAAACCATTATTATAATCCACATTTGCTAACTTCTCATCACTCTTAACTCCTTCTGAATCAATGTTATCATATCCATCCACTACCCTCTCCTCGCTCTTAACCTCTGAATCAATGTTATCATATCCATCCACTAACTTCTGCTCAAACCCCACTCCCATTAACTCTAATTCAGTTCCATCAACCACATTTTCTATATTCTTGTGCACATTAGCATTTCCAACACCTGATGGAACCTCTGTGACTGTGACCGATTCAGAAACA